TTCTCAGATGAAACGGACCATATTGAAATCCAAAATTTTGAGATTTCCATGGCCACCGGGCCACCTTCCCAGGAAGCGCAAAGCCTCAGCTCCCCGTTCCGCACCACGGGTGGAGGTTCCAAAGGAGCCGGTTTGGCCCAGTGGGGTCCATGTCTTCACCAGGGGACATGGGGTACACTATCTGGGGCCCACCCCGTACATGCGGAGTCTTCAACGGATGCACCTGCAGCTTGGGGTTGTCTTGAACCTATATAGGCAAGCCAATAAATAAATCAGAAAAAATTGGCTGGTGCTTGCAGATATGTGATATGTGTTCCATGGATGACTTGACTAGGTTTTGAAACCACCAACCAGCAATGGATCAGAAAGCCGTGCCAGTGAGGCAAGGTTGCCTGCACGCTCAGGTTCATGATGACGCCTTTTGGACATCCAGAGTGTTTTGTCCGAAGTTGCTTGGAGTGCAACTGGGTGCGTCTGAAAGAGGGCATACTATCAGAACGGCAATTTGCGAAAGATAAATCATGATTGAACAAAAATATCTGGGATATGAACTGACGACGGCTCTGATGTAGACAGGAGGATGTTGTTTGGGTGGCAGCTCAAAGGATTTGATTCTTTTCCCGCCCTATCTTGGACAACAATATGATAATGATCAAAATTCACCACTTGTAGAATATGTGTGCAATGTTTGTGTTGTTTCCCTCTCTCTGTTTTTATCTACTTTCAGCCCCTTGAGCTTGCTGGGTCGAGTTGAACCCTGCCAGAAGCAGCCTGAAACTGCCCCTCATCTTTCAAGGGGATCACCTTCCTGGGTCAGCTGACAGGTCTTGGGCGACGCGTAGTGGTGCACTCCAGAAGTCGCGACCCTCAGGACGAAGGCTTTCTGAGATCGTGCAGATATCCCGTTTCTTGATCCATTGTCCTCTTGATGCTTTCCACAACCTTGTCAACCGTGCATTCAATGATCGATTCCGGTGCCCCAAATGATCGTGAACATGTTGATAATTTGGGCCTTACATAGTAGAGATGCCCTCGGTGTTTCTAGCCCATCAATCACTGCACCGTGATGGAACAGAAGATGAAATGACATGAAATGACAATGAATCAACTCATTGTCATTTCATATCATTTCACCGTCTGTTGCATCATGGAAAAGACGAAAACAACTAGACCCGGAGCCAGGTGTGGATGGGCCATTGCCATTCCAAATGCCGTGCAATATCATGGAACATACATTCCAAAATAGCATCCAATACAGATATCTATATAATCTCATCTCATCTAATCTAATCTAATCACATCCAATCTAACTCTGATCCAATCTAATCTTATCTTTTCTTATCTTATCTCATCTTATCTGATCTTATCTATGTATCTATGTATCTATGTATCTATGTATCTATGTATCTATGTATCTAGTATCTATGTATCTATGTATCTATGTATGTATCTATCTGTCTGTCTATCTATCTATCTACCTACCTATCTACCTATCTATCTATCTATCTATCTATCTATCGATCTATCCATCTATCTACCTTTCATTTGTTTATCTACTCTTCATTTGTCTGTAGCACCATGTCTACCCATCTGTCTGGATGAACCGAAATTCTTTCAGCTCACGTGGTCGCGCGCCCAGGCGATGACCCGGATGCCAACTTCCAGAGCTTCTTTGGAAGCACCAAGCTGGCACTCTGGTGGCTGCCGGAGGCGAGGGAATGGGGATGCCACGGAGCTGGTTTAGATGAGTAGCTATGGGAATACCCCACCTTTTCCGGTGCAGCCGGTGTTCCTAGTGGGTATAGATAGATGTATAGCCATATATAGCCCCCATAATTCTATAATGATGGTTGTATACATCGAAGTAGTCCTGCTTATTAAGTGGAACTGCACCCCCAAGTAGCTGGTTTTTAATTGGGTGACGTTTTATCAACACTCCAATCAGCGGCATTTCGTTGGGAAGATTATAGCTAGCAAAACAAATTAATTAACTATAGATATAATAGAGAAAATATCACCTATAAACCATAATTATTGGACTTATTTGCGCCAACTTAGCTAACTATGGGGCACCACCCTGCAACCTGGTTGTTCCCGTACCGCCAGATCTTTGGGCCACGCCAGGTGAACAACATGTGCCGCATCCGCAAGCTGGGCTCGAAAGCTCGCGGGGACAAGTGCGGGGCCGCTGCAGGCGCGAGTATCGTCGATCTGGGGGAAGTGAGTGTGGTTTATTTGGCCATTTATGGGGATTCATCAACAACCAAATGGGATTAATTGTGATTAATTATATCTGGTTGGTGGTTTGGAACATGAATTTTATTTTTCCATATATTGGGAATAATAACGCCAACTGACTCATATTTTTCAGAGGTGTTGAAACCACCAACCAGATATAATTTATCTTTTGTTGATTGAAATTACGCCCACATGGGGATGAATCAACAACCAAATCCGGATTTAACCAATCAAACAGCCACTTGGGCCAACAAAACTGGTGATTTTATTGACACAAATTGGAAAATTGCATATACCCATGGGGTGGGGGGATCTAAATGCATGGTTTTTGGGAAATGATCTGCGAATATTTGTTGTTTTGCACATCTACGTCAATTAGCTGGGTGATCGGGGGTGTAAATATGCATGTGCCCAAGGAAATCGGGAATTATCTTTGACGAGTGCTAAGTGGATCATGTACGTCTTGTCGTTTTGATAGCAGTAATTGTATATGAACCTGTTTTTTTTAAAGACAACATGCCGTGTATCTCAGATTTGCCATGGGATGATGACGACTGACGCGGCGCATCCGTGGCAAGTGGGGTCATGAATTGACTAAATTTAGTTTTTGTGTCCAATTTTTATGGGGACAAAACCATGATATAGTCAGCTGTACTTGATGTGCAGAAATCACCGCCCAATGGTTGATCTTGTTTGGTTTATGGTGGCTCATGTCCCTCACAGACATCATAGAGGAGCCTGCCTGGTCCCGTGATGACTCCGTCTTCATCCCCGGGACGATCAATGACTAGTGGCTCTACTTCTGCAGTGGAGTATGATCTCTGTATCTATGATATTTATGGGTTACATCCGCATGACATCTGACATCCCCCCCTAAGCCCCGAAAACCTGGACTTCCTGCAACCAGCCTGGCCTATAGTTTGTCTTAGCCAGGACGTGCGGGCGGCCTAAACATGGCCTTTGACCCTCAAAAGGCCAAGAAAGCCAGAGCCGAAGGCGACGACTGGCCTGAGATTGTGATGATTCACATGGATTACCTTCCAGTGAACTAACAAGTTGCTATGGAAAATTACCAAATTATAGATGTATTTACCCATATTAAAGTAGAAATTATGTTGTTCCATAGACGAATTATGCTTGATTAGCACGCAAGAATGTGGTATTGTTGACGTTTGATGGGATCCATATAGCCACAAAAATTCTGGCTTGAGGGGCGGATGTTCATCCAATCAGCGGTTGGTTGGTTTTTGACGGGGCTGGGTGCCGCATGCATGATTTCCCTGAAAGGGAATTTTGGGAATGAGACTCCATTTTACAGGACCAACTACTTTGGATGTGAAGAGTAGGGCGCTGGCGGTTTTCATCCATAGCGATGCGATAGCCACGGGTATAAGCCAGTAAACAAGGGGATAACCAAAGTTGGTGTGCGGATGGGCCGTCAGTTGCTGGGGGGATATTGAAAAAGTAGAATGAGAAACTAACGACTGAAATCCAATCTGTTTGGGGTTGAACATGGACCCAGGTCTATTAAACCATAAAATTTTGGGGTGATAAGTAAGGTCGATTGCAATTGAGGGATTCCCTTTATTTGTGGAGGTTCTCGCAACTTGAGGTTTAAACTTCCAGTTCCGCTTAAGTGGCACGGATATAAAGGGGATTGTGGGATGCAAAGGCTTAGATTCCAGAAATCAAAGATTCACGTCGTTAACCATTCTCCTAGCGTCAAGTGTAACACCTATAGGTAGCCCTGAGTCAAGATTTCACTCCACCAAGTAGTCCCCAAAAGTCGGGTTTCCTGAGTTCAGCAGCGGAAACCAAATCGGCACGGTCCAACATCAAAGAAGGCGATGAACCTAACTGATTTTTAGCCTCTTTTTGCGCAGACTGATGTCCTTCTACGCCAGGGTAGGGTGAAAGGAGGGGGTCCATATCAAATATTCCTGCGGCGCCAGGCAGTGAGGTTCGCACGGGCCCCGGGTCAGGCAGATCAAGGGGAAAATCCATGAAAATCCTATGGCATCATCCGGAGAAGTATTCGTTGGAGGTTTCAATGCGTGTCAGTCAATATGTGTCATTTTTTATTATGTCCAAGCACATTATTTCGGGTGCATCTCCCAACTGCCGAGGATAGTTTTCAGTGGCCCAACCATCAACCAGAATAGTATGTTCAACCATGATCATGAGCCAAAAATCACTTTGAATCCTATCTACGTACGCATTTTTGTTGGTTCAGTCCTTCCTATCACCTGGGGGTTGAAACCACCAACCAAGTGTCCCATGATATCCTTCTTATTGTTGGTGATATTCCCAGCTATACATCCCGTGAAATCATACATATTGTGGATTAAATCCTCCGAATATATCGTCATGATTCCATCAATATCACCAATTAACATTCCAGTCATATCCAGTCAACATCCCTATTAACTAGTTCGATATATCTACCATGAACCTTCACCTAGTTCAACCAACTTAGCTAACAAACTGGATACGTTCACTAAACCATTATAGATTCGTTTTCAATATATTTCAATATCACATTCATATGTTTATTTCATTTCTAATTTGTTTACGATCTGTTTATTTAACATAGCCATGGAAAATCCCAAGCATAAATGGAGGTTTCTAGCTGGGAAAATCATCTATTTCTATGGGCCATCTATACCATGGCAAACTGTTAAATAACCAGAGGGTATTCTTATCCAATCACTATCCCTATCTTGGCCCTTGCTTTCCATGGCGGGAACTCCGAGAACTCCGAGGCATGGCGCCGGCCAACAAAGGGCAGAAGGCGGAGAGCGTGAACTTCGTCACCAAGGTGCGGGCGGCACCTTCCGAGGAAACAAGGTGGTTCAACCAAAAAAACATAGGAGGTTCATTGGATTTACCTTCTGGTAATTAACGGTTAGCTTTTGAACATGGCCATTTATAGTGGATTTACCCAAAAAAAATTGTGATTTTCCATCGTTATGTTAGTTTACCAGAGGGTATGAGAAGTAGGCTAACTAGGGTTCGTGATGCTTATAGCTGTTGTGAATGTGGCTTGTAAACCAACAAGCATAGACAGGGCTCGCCACCTTCTAAGCGGGCAGATGGGTAAAAATCTGGCTACCAGCTATTTACTTATATTAATGCAATCCTCCAAGTGTCACTTGTGAAGCGTCACGTGTCTTGAAGGAGGCTGGTCACGGAAGCAGCAGTATTGGAATAGCAGTCACAATTTTATGGGCATGTGTATGTGCATAAATAAATAAATAAAAAATAAATAAAAATAAAAATAAATAAATAAATGTATATATATTATATTTCTATATATCTATATATACATATATATATATATTTATATACACATGATATGTATATTTATATATATATACAGGATTTGTACATATGTATATATATATATGTGTGTGTGTGTGTATCCCTCTTTATCTCTTTCTCCCTATCTAGGTTCATAAACATATGTGTGTGTAGTCTACAAGTTTTGAAGCCCATGATTTGGCAGGTTGTTCAACAGCGGGAGCAATGATCACCCATCATCAATATAAATGCTTTCCATCATCTCATTAGTGTGTCTAAAGATAGGGTACCCTGTGGCAGTTAAACATGGCAATGGACAATTCCACATTTGTATTTGTTTTTCACAAAATGTACGAAAAAAAACATATGCCGAGGATTTTCAAGTGCCATGGTTGATGACACCGGATGGTACCCCTAAATCCACTGCCGAATCATCATGTTCCCTGTAAAGACACGGGTGTCGAGGCGAGCCCGACCTGCGAAGGCGCGTTGGGAGGCCCAGTTGAGACAACGGCCGCATGGTCGTGATGCTTGGTGGATGTGGATCCCAAATCAAAATCAATTCAAACTATTCATTAGAATTGTTCGTTGAGATTGCATGTGGCATGAATATCCAGCTCAGGCACGTTCGCTTCATCTATCTCCACCTAAAATCTAAGGTTGACTAGTGATTTTTCTCACCATGAAATACTTTGCTGATGGCGTTGGAGAGAGAGGGAGAACGAGGGGAAAAATAAACAACTTACCATTGATTCACCAGAAGTCACCTGTGAGTTCATTACTTCAGATAATGATTCAGGCCGGAAAAGTTCAAGTAGTTCCGAGACATGGATGGTCCCTCATCGGATGTAATGATGTCTTTAAAGACTTAAAGGTGTTTGAGGACCACCATGGACACCCTTCAGTTCGAGTCTGCTTAATGATGATGCAAGTTGGAATCCCGGCCTGGGACAAGAACTCTGTTGAATGGAGAGTAGTCCAAAAGATTGGTATTTGACTCCAGTTGCTGTCCAGCACCAAAAATTCCATCATTATCCCCTGTTGATCGAACCAGGCAAGGGAAATCCATGAAAACCCACGATCTGGTTCGATGATTTCCCCAGCTATAAAAACCTACATTCATAGGGGGCTTCCATGGATTTATCGATGATTTTCCCATTCAAACCTGCACTTATAGATGATTTCCCATTGAAGACCCAAACCATATCAAACCTGCACTTAATTATTCAAACCATGTTTGATAGATGATTGTCCCATTAGAATATTCTGAAAACCTCCATTTCTGAGGGATTTCTGGCCATGTTTGATGACATCGCAACGCGGGTCACCCGGTCCAGCGGTTTTTCTGGGCCCCAGGCTTCGCTTTGAGTCGGCCAGCCAACGAGGGTCAGGGTGCCCAGTGGACGTTTCCCCAGTGGTAAGAATTGGTTTTGACCCATCCAGTAGTACCTATATTATCCTATATTATTGGGAATATATCCCCATATTATTGGGACGAATATATCAATGGGAATATACTGTACAGACAGATCTATTTATATGTATGTCTATGGTTTGTTTGTATATTATACAGTGTATATGGCATGTTTAGGCTTAGAACCTATTTAGTAAGTGGGATGCATATGCTGCAGAAGATGGTGGGTATCCAATGGAATTGCTGGTAATCTGTGAGTGCCTGTTTTGTTATGGGATACTTTTCGGTTTTCGGGAATCAAACATAGCAAAGGAACATTCCCCATGCCGAAATGGATTTCCAACATGTTCTCAATGTAACCGAACAACAAGTTTGGGAATGTGTTTTTTTCTTTCGGATATGGCCATTTCCGGGTCCCATCTTCATTTTTGGGGGTGTAACAAATTCTGTTGCCAGCTTAGCTTGTTGGAGAGTATGTCCAGGAATGCTGGAAACCCTGGTTTGAAGGTGTTCAGGGAAACCAGGTAGGGTCAACCCTGTGTTTGTTGCCCGCACTTGATGAACATTGGGGGTACCATTGATCATTGACGTCAGCACGATTTTTGAGCAGGCCCCAAGAATGACAATGCAGAACCCCTAGTCTACAGTTTTTCTTTCAATAGATTTAAATCATCATACATGGACGATCACGGACGGTTTGTTCATCCTGGACCTTACGTTGCGCTGAGGCAATACCTGGCCTTTTTTCCCCCATGCCATTTGAGAGCTCCTTGGCACATGTGGACCGTTCCACCGGTGTTAAATATAGGGTGGAAAAACTACGTGGCTTAGTGGGGGTTATGACATGCTAAGACTATCCAATGGAGTTGTTGTAATGCTAGGGGAAGGGTGGAATCTGAGACAAGCACGCCTGGAAATTGAGAATTCTCCATCTGCAAAGTTGGGTTGCACTGAGCTATTTGGCCTTGTGGCAGTTCCTCCAAAATGTCAGGTCGTGCCTTTCTTGGAGGATGCTGAGGCATGGCGTGACAGGGAGCAACTTCACAAGTAGCTGGATGATGGGTAGTCAGATGCACCCATTATGTGGTGAACGAACTCCTTCCAGAACCCCCATTTTTGGGGGATGGTTATTGGTGATGTTGTGGGGGTGGGACTACGTAGGCCCTGAGTCTTGTAGGCACATGACCTCAATGGCCATGTCAGGAACCTAAAGTGGAGGTACCTAGCATATATAAGGCCTATATAAGGTTGACAACCTGAACCAACAGTTTGATCATGGTTGCAGACATGTGAGTGTCCAAACATCGGGCACCTCGCCCCAGGCTATCCGGTGGTTGACCATGTTCAATCAGTGGCCATAAAAATACCATGAAATCTTGTTTTTGTTCCCCCCATTTTTGGACAAACCCAGATGCGGAATTCCATCGTCACCCTACCATCGTTCGTAGCCAGGAACGGGTCTTGGACTTTCTCTTCGTCGACTTCGAAAGCATGTGAGGAAACTCAGCTGGTGGGTCCAACTCAAGCAAAGTCGCATCTGGAACAGACCGTGTGGCCCAGTTTCCATTCACCTCAAAACATGCCATGTTTCTTGACATTCCTTGACACATTAAGAAGAAACGAAACACCTAGGGTGACCTTGGTGCGGTATAACCCGACATAGCGTTGTTTGACGGTGACTTTACTGACTTTACTATATGTTATCCAGAATGTCTAGAAGAATGAGTCACAACTGGCAACTATTCCAAGTTAATTAAACGCCCTACCTGAAAGAGGCAACTGGCTGGGTAGGCCTGGGGGCCAGGCTCCGTAGGCTCTGTATGGGTGAAACAGCGCAGATCCTTGGGCCTGGGATCAAACCGGATCTTCCATGCTACTGTACTTGGATCATCACACGAATCCTAACAACTGGTAGTTACATGGTTAGATTTGGCTAGTGAAGTGTTTATTTATGATTATATAAATGTATACACGGTATATATATATATATATACACATACATACATACATACATGCATGCATGCATACATACATACATACATACATACATACATACATGTGTATATATATAGCTATTATATATATATATAGAGCTATATTATATATATACGTTATCAAATACAAGTCCCCAATGCGTTTCATATCTCATACCTATAATAACTAGGCAAAGCTTTAGCCCGAGGTTCAAGTTCATCACTTTGGAGGAGGTCCTGGAACCGATCTTCAGCTGGGAAGTCTCAGGGGCTGCATGGGAAGACCGGCAATGTGGATATGAGAGTTACCATGGTTTTTGTTTGGTGTTAATATGGCTTTAATATGGTTTTATATGGTTTAAAAGGAATAATAATTGGATGATGATGATGATGATGGGATTTTAGTGATTTTAATGGGGTCCATAGTCATGGGGTATCCCCAATAGCTGGATGGTTTATTTCATTGCAAATTAAAAAAAGAAATGAATGATTTTCAAGTACGCCCATTTTAGGAAACCCCCATATGTGGAGGAAAAAAATGCCGCATTGGAAACTGATGCTTAGTACATGGTCAGCAGGGGTGACATACAGTCCCCCGTAAATTGGCAGCGACTTCATCTTATTTCATGGTATTTTCTATCATTCATCCGTTTTTCCCTGAAAACACAACCCAGAAACCATGTTTGGGACCATGTAGGGGGTGTTTAGTAGTAGGGTGATATGATTATATACCACTATAAACCACTATCATCCACTCTATACCACTATTAACCACCATGATTCCTTTTTGGAACCATGTTTCGTATCAGGGCGATGAGGATTCTGCAACATGATCCCAGCTCCCATCGAGGTGAATCCCCTGGGGCCTGGCTGACACCTCAGACAAGAAACTGCGTGAAAAATGTGGTTGAACTCGGGTTCATGGTGACCCACGGTGGTTAGAAATGGGTAGAACTTGTTATACATTTTTTGGATAGATGTATTTGTGCATGTGCATTAATGCGTTTCGTTATGGCAAATGTGGAGGCTTTCAAATGTTCAATTTCGCAGCTGCATCTGGAATCATGTCATTTTCTTCACAGTGTACATCAGTGTAACTTGGCGCTTCACCCCAGGAATTGTGAGAAGTTATCAGTGGGATCAGCCGGGTGCAATGTCCAGCTATATAGAAGTTGGGTAAACTAACCCACGACCCACGGATGTGCTTTCTGGGGCTGGGGTGAACCACCAAGTATCATCAAGTATCTTCATTTCATTCTTATCCCACTACCCTCTGGTAAACTAACAGTTCGCTATGAAACAGTTCGCTATGAAAATCACCATCTTTAAATATAGGTAAATCAACGAACAATAGGTGCCATTTTCAATAGCCTGTTAAATTACCGGAGGGTATATCTCCACATCCCCAAGTAGAGCGCCGGCATGCCCTGGTTGCCCAGGATTGATTTAGCGAAGCTTCGAGACGATGAGGCGGTGAAGAGCCACTTCAAGGAGGCACTGAAACACTTGTACCAGCTCTTTTGGGGGGACATAGATGTGGATGCACCTGTTGAGTACAGTAAAGTTCATATGTGAAGGCACGTAATGGAAGAAAGAGGGACTCACCGAAATATACCTGGGTGGGTTATGGCAGAAGTGAATTCGGTGGTTTCAAGTATTGGGTATAAATTGTTCACTGCAAAAAGTTGGGAAAGTCATTTTTTGGGGGGGGAGATTTGATTTCTCTGATATCCATAGAAAGTATTTGGTAAATAAATAAATATATATATATATAGATATATATGTGTATGTATATGCATATATGCCCCGACCTTCCTCCACAACCTTTAACTGTGGGGTTACTGGCCACACTGTCAAACCTTGTCTTTCGATGATTGCAGAGAATCGGTTCCATCTAGTCACTGCGCACGGCCTTTTTTTCTCATGGAGAACCAATTACCAGACGATTACAATGACACCCAGATATCAATGTCTCCAATCAGATAATTTTACAGTAGATTATAGCACCCACAGAGATAGAAACGTTGAAAACCTGGAAATTATGGAGGCAACATTATCTATCTAATCTAATCTACTCTACTCTAATCTACAGTAATCTAATCTACTTTACTCTAATCTAATCTAACCTACTCTAATCTAATCTAATCTACTCTACTCTAATGTAATCTACTTTAATCTAATCGACTCTACTCTAATCTAATCTAATCAAACCTATCTCTATCTACAGTATCTATCTACAGTATCCATCTACAGTATCTACCTAGCTATCTTTCTATCTTTCTATCTATATATCTATCCATTGATCTATCGATCTATCGATCAATCGATCTATCTATCTATCTATCTATCTCTCTCTCTCTCTCTATCTATCTATCTATCTATCTATCTATCTAATCTATCTATCTATCTATCTATCTCTATCTATCTATCTATCTATCTATCTATCTATCTATCTATCTATCTATCTATCGTCTATTTGTCTATCTATCTATCTATCTATCTCTCTCTCTCTCTATCTATCTATCTATCGATCGATCGATCGATCGATCGATGGATCTATCTCTATCTATCTCTATCTATATCTATCTGTCTCTCTATCTATCTGTCTATCCGTCTATCCGTCTATCTGTCTATCTGTCTATCTGTCTATCTGTCTATCTCTCTATCTATCTCTCTATCTATCTCTCTATCTATCTATCTGTCTGTCTGTCTATCTGTCTGTCTGTCTGTCTGTCTGTCTGTCCGTCTTGTCTGTCTGTCTATCTGTCTATCTGTCTATCTGTCTATCTGTCTATCTGTCTATCTATCTGTCTATCTATCTATCTATCTATCTATCTGTATATTTATACTATCCAGGTTTGACACTTTCAGCATCTTTCTTCAGGTTGCTATACTATTATGGATAATAATCAATAATTATTCCAATGCTCCATATGCCCTCCGGTAGTCAAACGTAGCAATGGGAAATCCCCAAACTAAATAGAGGTTTGTAGCTGGGAAATCATCGAACTAATTTGTAGAATTTCCAGCTAGCCACATTTGACTACCGGAGGGTAACCATGGCAATCATCATCCAACCAATATCATCATAATCCCAATCATAGAATAGAAAGCAATAGCTATCCCAATAGCCTCCATTGCCACATTTGATGACCCGAGGGCCCGAGAGTCAAGGATTATATTCCATTAATATTCCGTTAATATTCCCATTAACCCATGGATGACCAGATTCGTTTCGTTCTCCACAGGTCATGGGCAAAGAGGTCTGGGATGTCGAAGATTTCCAGGCTCCGGATGCAACACGAAAACTAGCGGGGTAGAAATGGAGGGGTGTTTGTACGAAAGGGGCTAGGTGTGAGATTCTGCATAGGACATATAGTAATTCAATATACTGTAGATGCACATAGACACATATACACACATTATATAGTAATATGTCTGTCTGTTTCTTTCCCGTTTTCTTGTTTTTTATCTAATATCCGGAAGAATCAATGTTAGTTGATAGGTTCGGCTGCCAATGGAAAGTGTTGGCGAAGTATTCCCAGTAGAAATTCCATTGCTGCCACAAATTTGCTCACAGCCATTCTTGGGGGCCATGGATGTGGTCCTGATGGTTAGGATGGGTGATTGTGGCCATAATGCCGGGCGTTGTGCGGTAGTCAACCGTGGAAATGTACAATTTCCCAATTTGTAGATGGTTTTCCGGTTACAACCTCCATTTCTGGGGGATGTTGAAACACTGGAGGGTACATGTCAAAAAAAAAACACCCGGTGGCCCGCTGTGACTTCAGCTTGGCTTAGCTTCCCATCTGAAATTTTGTCGAAAACCAACGAAATCACCAGCCCTAGACAACGGTGAGTTTTCCCAAGATCTGTCTACTTCCACTTTGAATAGTTTAAGGCTTAAGGAATAAGAAGGAACAATAAGAAACACAGTCCTTTGCCCAGACGATCCCAGACGTATCATGTGCAAGGTTGAGATGGGAGCAGTTGGCATGCAGCGAATTGGTGAAACTTCCAAGATCTTCCAAGTGGTAAAGCCCTTGACCATCTCCTGGGAGAGGATCCCAAGTGACATCGAGTGACTCATCGTTTTGGAATGCCTGGTTCTACAAAGTAGAAATAGGATGAAATAGGTATGCCGACCATAAACTGTGAAATTATAAACTTAGCTAACTCGGATTTTTCATGATTTTCCAACCTCATTTAAATTTGGGCGATCTTTGGCGCAACCTCCCCATCACCTGCTGTCCTTGCCGACGTGCCGTCGGCGCCATGCCGGCAGCGGTGATGTCGCAAGCTGGGGGATTCCCAAGGGCAGAAGCTGCACAGGGGGAATGGGCATCTTGGAGAAACCATCCAACAGCGAAGATTGCAGGTTTGGAATCGGGGGGACAGGCTGTGTTTTCTCGGCTTAGGAGCATGGCCCTCCATTTCACGTTTGTTCAAGATACCCTCTTAGTGGAACAACATCGGGTCAATTCACCCAGTTTGGGGGATAGAGAGGGCAACCAGTTGGGCATCCCGTCTTATGCTAATAGGTTGGTGGTTCTCCTTTATATGATTCTTGTTGTCCCATCGACTCGTTGTTTGGGGGTTGATACCTCTATTTGTGCAGCCTGGTTCCGCACTTCACTTGCCTGGCTACCCGTGCTGATCACTAAGTGAAGGTCAACATGCGCAGGCACTTGCAAAAGACAATGTGGTAAACTGATAAATTTGAGTTGTAGTTTGATGAATTGTCTACACTGCCCCTTCTGATTTGAACAAATGATAAAGTCAGGGTTTGTTGTCGGATTTCCCCTGTGTATATATAATTATATATATACATATATATATATATATATGATCCCAATTGTAAGCTAGTTGTCATTGCGTCGCTGCAAGACCTCCACAACTTTCATGTTTTTATCCTACAAAATGACCAGTCATTTCCCTGTTGTTGTTGTTGGCATTTGTTTTTGGGGGGGTGCTTAATAATGCCATGATGGTAGAAGGTGGTGCCCCAGCTCAGTAGCTGCATGCTGGTACCCCTTCTGAAATGTTTGTTGGTTGATCATCTTCATTAATAATCCCCATATTTCTAAAACCAACTTGGCTAAATATGTGGCATCACCTTGCAAATGGGGCAGGCGCTTGTAGGGGTAATGGTTATAGGGTTTGCATCGCAACTTGTGGGGGGGTCACACAAGGTGGTGCCCCCCAGTTATAAATGGGTCATAACCCCATTACATATAATAGATATATCACCTATAAATACCATAGTTATTGGACTTATGAACCAACTTAGCTAACGAACTGGGGCACCACCCTTTCATATTTTAGAACCATGCTTATATCCGTATAAGTAACCTCAACCGCAGCCCCAAGTCGGCCAACTGAGGATCAGTTCGTGATTCAAAGCTTCAGGCTGTCGGGTCTGGTGGTCCTTGCTCCTTGACATGATGCAGCCTGGGATGATGCTCCCAGAGAGGTAATTACCCAAGATGGAGCCACAAGATGCAGTGGAAAGGCATTTTCCGACCTCTAAATCAGTTTAAATTATGAATCATGCTTATATATTGCTAATATAGACATATGTACGCACGATAAACCATCTTCATTTGTTAGATGCCTCAAGCTTTGTTGCTTGAGATATCAACATGTTGAAAGGCTGTGGTGCTTCAGATTTTCGGGCGAGGGAGGTGTTTCTGCATCCTTTGTTAGTGAAGCTTCGCTGGACACTATACTGAAACACTGAAAATCCGAGGAACCATGATGGAACCCCCATCAAATCGAAGTTTCCCATACTGGGACTGGGGTGCTGTATCTTGTGGAAGGACTATGGGAATTGGGGGTCCGGGGTCCCCAAGGTGGGCTTCTTGGTGTCCATTGTGACGCTGTTGGTGATCTGCAGGGTACACATCCGTGACTTGACCGTAACGGTGAAGGGTCGTGTCCGGGGCCTTCCAGGCTCGGATGTGGTGCTTGTAACTGGTTTCTGAATCGGTTCCATGCTCAACTTGTGGGATGATGATTTTTTCAGCCCAGAATTCAGAACCCAGATATCAGAGTGGCAGAGATGAGGTGGATAACTGAATTCGATGACTGGTCCTGTGGCAGCATTGACATTGCTTGATGATATCGCCCCAGTGCTTGATGGTCCCCTAGGAGCACATCATCAGACGAAGCCCTGCCTGATGTTCTCGTTGCTTCTACTCGTGTCTCTCGGATTTTTGGGGCGGCGGAAATGGAGGGATTCCAGCAACCGAAGAAGCAGTAGAAAGGCCCATTTTTCAGCAGCAAAGAGGGGGATTCAACCACCAAACATGAGGATTTCAGCATGCAACATCATGCAACGAATTACTTGAACTACTTCCCAATGGAAATGCAGATTGAATCAACAAAAGGGTTGGATTTAACCAATGGACGTGAAAATTGTTTCAAATGGATATAATATAATATATATATAATTACATCGACATGGAACCAACCGTGGGTCTCAAGCAACAAAGGTGACAACCAATCGAAATGACAGATATGAAAGTGTCTTGGAAGATGGGGAGCCCTCAACTTCCACCGAACTTGGACCATTTGGAAGCAGACATATGCCATTTGGAAGGTTGTGAAATGATGTTCACGTTGTGCTCCTTGCATGTATTGTGCATGTGATCATGTGCCTGGAAAAAAAAACCTTCAGCATTTTGCAGCCACATATTTGTAAATTCAATCATGTTGAATCCAATGCTTGGGATGTTTCAACCCCCCAGTTTTGTTGGTTCCAGGTTTTTTCTCAATATAAATGCAATTTGAGGCTGCTTCAATCCCTTCAAGTCTCGAAATTCCAGATCCCCATTTTTGTGGTGCAATTCGTTCAGTAAGTTCTGTGTTTTGCTTCTGAAGTTGCTGGTCTCTGATCAAACCTTTGCTCAAATCCTCATGGGTCTTCCTATCGAGATCCCACGAGATCCCCACGCAGTTCCCCCTACGAATTCCCTGATTTTGTCCGGGAAGCCCCCGTTCTTCGTGGATTTCCATACGAAAATCTGAATGTTTATCCAGGAAACTTCCCAACCTGTCTGTTTCAACACCGCCGTTCGAGGAATCTGGCGGTCTTCGGTGGGACTGGGCTCCATCAGAGCTTCAGCTGCTGGTTTCAGGCTGCGGAGCTCGTGAAGGATTTATCCGTGGAGCTGGAAGATGTGCAGGCCACGTTGCGCATGGCGCAGGTGGAAACACATGGTACCGATCACGTCCAAAAACGGATACCGAACATTCATGAACACGAAACGAATACAACAGATCAGTATATATATATATATACGTATATATATACACACTATTTTTGTTGGAACATTCGCTAGTTGTATGTTATTCGGATTTAATGTGTTGATCATTTTGCATCTTCTATTGCCATGTTTGTATACCGCAGGGTCACAGGATGCTGTTAGTTGGCCACTGACCAACTAACAGGATTTCAGGAAACTCCGAGACTTGAGATCTGAAGATTGTTATTTAACATAGCGATGGTATAGATGGCCCATAGAAATAGATGGTTTACCTATTAGAAATAGATGGTTTGCCTATTAAACATGTTAAATAACCAGATGGTAATCTTTTTAACTGAAACATACTGAAACTTTTTTAGTTGGTTCCATTTGGTTTTTGACAAAAAGAACACCAAAAAAATCCCAAGGTTCATCATATGTTTTCCGTTAAATGTGCTACTTTCGGGGGGAGGGCATCAGTTTCAACCATTTCCACGGTTTCAGTTTCAGGTTTGTTTGGTGCCTTGACTGGGTGTTTTTCGCCACGAGGACATGGCAGAAGCGTTGAACATCTCAAGTGTCTCCTTCCGGAACAATCTGGACAGGGCCTTGGGAACTGCGCAGTGAATAGCAGCAGTTGAGAGCTGAACCATGCCCCTAAGCAGTTGAGGATGCAAAATGACCCACAAATGGGTGAGAATTGGAGGTTGCTCATTCTTCAGTGTGCCACTTTAGAGTAATCAGAAAAGTAACATTCTACTAAAGCAATGGTGATATATGTAATATTGCTTTTCTATGCTTTTCTCTTAGCTTTTCGGGGTGTTGCTATAACCCCAATGTGTCTGGCCACCTGCCTTCCTTTTTCTGCCCTTCAGATCGGGACCTTTCTTTTAGCAGGACCGGCTCTACACGGAATGTCCCAACACCACACACGAATTCCTGGGGGACTCGGTGACGCAACGGAAGAAGGAAGCAGAAGATGCGCAGGCGCGTGGTGAAAACCACGTGTTTTGGGTTGTTTTGGGTGGAGTATGTACGGGGTGCCCTTTGTTTTAGGAAGAGCCTGAGCGGGGGAGAAAATGCGGGAAACCATGTTTTCTTAGCGTCTAAGTTTGCACGGTTTCTGGCCAAAAAACATTGACTTTTTTTTGGCAGGAAAACGCAATATTTGGATTGTAAAAACAGGACCAACCATTTTCCCACAGATTTTGGTCAGTGCTTGGTCTGTTTCGTTCTGTCGTTGCAGTCACTTTGGAATCCGCCGGTTCCAGGATGTTCTGTGGCTTGGGTGCCTCAAATTTTGACACTCGTGTGCTCTGTTTCCCAGAGCTGGTGGAAGATAAAGGGAACAGGAAAAAAACAGTGACAATCCCTCATATACAGTGACAGTGATAATTTAGCTGATAGGTGATTATATATCCAATTTATCCACATGAATCCATTATATCTCATTAAATTGGTGGATCTCCCATATTTTCCCTTCACACTTTACCATATTATTTCCATAAAGACATCATAAAGACCAAGGTTTCTGTAGATGTTGCCATGAGACTCGCGGAACTCGCGGAACTCAGGCAGCTGCGCTGGTGACGCTGGAGCAGCTGGAGGGCCTTCCGCAGTGGCTCATGCAGAGGATGAAAGCTTCTTGGCGAGTCAAGATGCAGATGCAGGCTGGCGACCCTATGGGAATCCATGGCGACTTTTCACAAAAAAATGTGATTTTCATATGGATTTGTTAGCTAAGTTGGTGCAAATAAGTCCAAGAGCCAGGGGTTGATGAGGGTTATATCCATGGTCGGTTAATGGGTTTATAAATTTATAAACCAACTTATTATTGGGGGGGCGCACCTTGTAGTTTATTAATTGAGGCTTTCCCCCATGAAAACCACCCAACAGATTGATGATGATGAATACTCTACCAAACTGGCAAAGACAATATTTGGATGGTTGAGCAAATATGTATCATCCGTATGATCCCATCAAAGTAGATCATCATAGATCATGGCTGAGCCATGGCTGGATCCAATGGATGGGTATGGGCCATCCCAATGACGTTGTTTGGGGTGTGTGAAAACAAGTTGATCATGGCATGTCCACCAAGCAGGCTGGTGCATAAGGCATATGTACGTCATCGGAATGGTCACTGTATTTCTATTACTCCTAATGACTCCTAATGATTCCATGTCCATCACCATGTTTGCTGGTGATATTCAATACAAGGTGGTGCCCCCCAGATATAAATGGGTGATAATCCCATTACAGTAACTAGATATATCACCTATAAATACCATAGTTATTGGATTTATTAATTTGCACCAATAAGTTGATATATCACCATACTTATATCACCTATAAACCATAGCTAACTAACGAACTGGGGCACCACCTTGTACTTGATCATGCGGGCAGTTCTGGGGATGTTCACCAGTTGGTCGTGCCAAGTTGTTTTTCCTGCCATGGAACCCACCTTGTTTTGTTGAGGGTCACCCGCCACTTGGCTTTTCCACAAAGGTACCAAAATTGGAGGGTACCTAGCATATTTATCCATATCGAAGGTCTAAATCTGAGGGAAACATCACGAACTATGTCCTGAGAAACGGTACGGTACCTCCAAGAGTTATCCCCAACAACGTCAGGATGCCTTCTCCATCGCGATGATGCTGGTCATCAGCACCCTGGACCAAAAGTGGCAAGAGGGAAAAGCCACCGGAAAGGGCCATAAATACACACATATTATATAATACACACACACACATATTTATATATATAATACATATGTACATACATACATATATATATATATATAACAATATATATCTATATATGTGTGTGTGTGTGCAAATTTACTTATCTATAAATGGAGTGAAGTATTACAGAAAAATGGGGCAGCTAGGGGCCGCATCCGGCGTCGGCTTGGGAAGATGATCTGGCTAGTTAAACTGGATGTACCCACTTGTAAACTAACATAACTAATGAGAAAACCACCATGTTTTTATGGGAACATCAACGAGCTAAATGGCAATTTTCAATAGCTATGTTGGTATACCAGCGGGTAGCTATTTTCAAACAGTGTCAATGTTTATGACTCATGACTGTTCCACGCTTAGCAAAGTGATCCGGACCAACTGGATGACACCAGCCATTCTACGGCTGCCCTGCATCACTGAGGCTTCATCATGCCCTTGGCTTTGCTCCTCATGTGCTACTGTGCTATCGCCTTGTTGCCCCTCAGCGGAGCAACTGGCTATTTTGCAATAGGGAGAACGCTTTAGACGCGAAGCAGTGGTTTTGTGATGTTTGGTTCGGGGAATGTCCCAGATACAGAAGTAAGTGGGTAATGTTCTACATGTAGAACCTTCTGTTAGTGGAAATGTTCTACACGTAACTGGCTGAGAATCTGCTTCATAACCCACTTGGCACCTGGGATGCTCTTCTAGAGATCTCGGGGAGACCACTTCCTCCCGCGTTTTTTTTTGGGTTCCAAGGATTGGTGTGGCCGAATGCGCTGGCCCCAACTGCATCAGAAGATGCAACTGCTGCCACTCGGCGACCTCAGGGCCAAGCCTTTGGCCTTTCCACCGGGAGGTTCTTCAGAAAGGGTCACCCAATTCATGGATGGTTCAGAAAGATGCTAAATCCTATATAATCCTATATAGATGGTTGATTTCAAGATAAATCCTATGAACATGGATGATAACTGGGAAAACTAGCATGACTTAGGAAAGCTATGGCTGTGTATGACATATGTTTAAGTATGTCTGTAGGCTGCACATGTATCAGCCCGGTGCCCTGGCTGCGATTTCGCGAGGTCAGATCTCCTGCTTGACGGCCAGCTGCATTTGTCCCAGCATCGACGCTCGGCGATGCGGCACTTCATCCCACAGATCCAACCAATGTATGGGATAACCCGAGCTAGGAGACCAACGAAACCAGGGTCAGAAACACTTACATCAAGTGGGTCAGCATAAGTTATAGCAAAGTTATAGCATGTTATAAAGCACTAAGTCCAGTTACTAATCACAGGTTATATCCCTTTTCCTATGGGAAAACTCAGTGGGATGATCCTCCAAGTAAACGCATCGCCGGGAAGTTTTCCCCAGGTGGCGATCAGCCTGGTGGTGGCCTTCGAGCTAGGCTTCAGTGCGATGACCTCGGCCTTCTGCGAGAATCCCAAGCTGGTGACCTTGCACCGTGGCTGGTGATTTCGGCCCTGGATTTTACCCAGGAAAAACGGGGAAGTGAAGCAAGAAAAATGGGAGGTTAACCGGGAGAATGGATCATAAGCTCTTCATATGGCTGGGTATATCCCACTATATCCCACCGTTAATCATGGCTAGCCATGATTCTGAGCCAGATGCTAAGTGAACCAGGACAATGGTTATTTGATGGGATTTGAATGAGAATCAAGCTTGGAGGATCATGGACGGTCATGGAGAATCATCGCAAAAAGATCGAAAAGGTGCTCGGGTACGTACTGGGACTTACTAACTAGGCTTATTAGCAATTCATTGAGTTCGATGATTTTCGCATTGAAATGATGTTAAACGATGTTAAATATGTATTTAAATGTCCATGTGAAACAGAGCATTTCCCAGCGAGCCAGTTTGATGACAATCGAGGGTATCCCACTTGAATAACAATAGTGAATGACTTTGCCAATAATTGGGATATAGCATATAGCAAGGCACCCCTGTTGGTTGATATTCTTTTCTGGCAATTCCACAATAATAACTATAGGGAGTAATTTCTAAGTTAAAAGCGAACTGTCATGTAAGCAACAACAAGTTCGAACATTACCAGCAAAAAATGCGATATAATGGATTGTCAATGGGAACTTGATATGGGTTCCGTTGTCTTCTTGTTTTTGGGGTGACTTCTTCAAACCCATTCCCCTTATATTCGTTCTACCGCCCAGACGAGGCCCCTGACAGGGCAAACTTTTAAGGGGATGTGACTATCTCTTCAAGAATCCTACCTGTTTCACCCAAATCTGATCCTTTTGAGTCGCTTCTTTTTGTTGAAAAACAGGTAGACAGATGGATGCATGGAGAGATAGATAGATAGATAGATAGACGGACATTCATATTTGACCCGCCATATATCCCTCCGTAAACTAAGATAGATGTGGAAACACCATGATGAAAGTAGATCATTTTCCTAGTCCCGCTAAAACCCCATGGGTTTTCAACATCGAACTGCTCCTTTCTTCGGAAGCACTGAGGAGCTACAGCGAGGCTGCCTTTGGGCATGAGTCACCACAGCTGATTCTGAGCCAGCAGTGTCTTGGGCTGGCGATCATCCCATACATATCAGCCACTTTTTGGGTTTGTATCAGTGGTTCAACCATTATTTTAACTGGATGAGATAAATCTATGGGGTTAAACCCACTTAACATTTATATAAACACCTTATGGATATTTATGGGTTATATATCCTAGGCCCGCCATGATTCCATTTGATTCCCAGTTGCTTTCAAGGGCGAGTGATGAGTTCAGGAGAGATCCGGTATGATCCGGCCTCAGCCGTGAATGATCGCGGAAGTATTGGGAACTGTTGGCAACACAATATGGGTTTGTCCTGGTTTGTCTGAAAATAGGGGGTATTCGCCAAATGGACATTTTAAGTTGGGAAAATGAGGATATAATCAATCCATTGGAATTGGGGGTACCCTATTTTCAGACTTTCCCATCGGCACTATGGACTTTCTTCCTGCATCTTCGTGCAATGTAATTCCCGAGCATCTAGCACACGGACTGCTCAATTTGGTTTTGTCATGTTTTGTCCAAATACCGAAAATTAGCCCTTGCCTATTCGGGAACATGTTGTATTTTCGTTGGAATTGGACATGCCCATGTTGCGGCAAGGTATCTGGATGATGCAACGGCCAATGTGGCCCTGAACGACTTGAAGGCTGGTGGGTTTTAAGTATTCATCGATAATGTTGGCTCCTGATTAGTGTGGTGGGTCGCTTTTGTGACAAGTTTTCCCAAAATAATTCTGACCCTGTGGAAATGATTGGGTGGGTCGCTATTGGGTAAAGTTTTTTTGGGTGTATTTTTATTTTCAGTTTTTAGTTTTTTTTATTTGTTTTATATAGATTTGTTGCAGTTGTTTTTGTTGTTTTTTCAATTTTTCATTTTTTCATGAACAATATTGATCCTAAATAATATGTTTGTTGTGGTGGTCCACTATTGTGTCCAGCTGTTGTCTGAAGAAACATGTTTTTTTAAGGCTATGACCCATCAGCAATAATTAATTATATAGGATGCCTTATTCAAACCCAATTTTAAAAAAATCAGCCGCCAAACAATTTTTCAAGGGAGTAGTCCATGAGCAACCCTGATCCTCAATAGTATGTTTGTTGTGGGGGTCCACTATTGTGTCCAGCTGCTGCCTGAGGTGAAAAAAATCAAACATTTCTTTTATCCTTTTCCTTTGCTAAAGTTTTTTCTTTTGCTTTCTTAGTTCCATTCTCTTGGAATTCTCAGGCATGTCCAATTTCCCAAAATATATGATCCCTTTTTAAAACCCAATTTTTTTTTAAAAAAAAACACAGCAGCCAAACAATTTTTCAAGGAGCAACCCCTGATCCTCAATAGTATGGTTGTTTTGGGGGTCCACTATTGTGTCCAGCTGCTGCCTGAGGTGATTTTTTTTCAAAATAATTATCTCAGTTCCTTTTCCTTTCCTTCGCTAATACTTTTATCTTTTGTACTTTCTTAGCATATTTATTTATGTACGTATGTATGTCTGTCTGTATGAATGCATGCCTGTATGTATATCTATATGTATGTATCTATGCATGTATGTATATATATATATCTATACACATGTATTTTCATCCATGTATTATAAACATAATACTTATCCATGTATGTTTAACATATATATATATATATAGTGCTATATTTCTTCACAAGCGGGGCCGTCACGTACAAAGGAACAGTCCAAGCCACGGGGGGGGGGCCTACACTAATCAGGAGCCAGCATTTTATATATTTTTAACCAGTCTCAATATCACAATATCTAGGGCCAACCTTAGTTACATAGATGCATAAGGTTTTCTATCAATGGCAACATTTACGTACTAAGGTTTTTTTTGGGGGGGACAAGTATCTAAGATTCACCATGTACCTAGGGACTTCCAGAATATCCATTATTAATAATGCGTATCAGTAGATTTGGCGTTTCTTGTTTGTTTTTGGCTGATATGAGAGGTCAGAGGCAGAAAACCGGGTATCTTTTAATGTGTGATCCATGCAGCTGAGATGCGCGGTTTCACCACTGATCATGGCGGCGAACCAAATCTGGGGATCATTGAGTCTATGATCCATTGAAAGGGTTTCAGACCACAGGATCATAGAAAACTGGTTGGTCCAATTGGTGGTTCGGAACATTATTTCGCTTTTCCATATGTTGGGAATAATAATCCCAGCATATCCCAGCTGACGAATAGGATCCAAAGAACTGCCGGACCCTTTCTTCTCCGTCGCACAACGACGCCTTGCAGGTGATCGAAAATCACTACACTCTATGGCAAGAGCAACTTGTTTCAATGAAGATGTGACAGTTGCAAATGATGCATGATGACACGAAACAAATCCAACAAAATCCATACAGCCCCACCATTTACATATTTTAATTTCATTCGAATCCATTTAGATCCATTGAAATCCATTAAGAACACAATTTGATTCCGTCAAAATGCAGTTGAAATCAAGGTAAATCCATGTTAAATCCATGTAAAAACCATTTTGAATCCTTTCAAAATACCGCCTTTTCCATGGCAAACCTCGACGTGACTCTCCTTCACGGCTTCCGGCCAGGTGGGTGGGGACCTACGGTGAGGCGATTCAAAGAAGTTGCCCTGCCTGGGACGCTGCCAACGTTCCGCGGCTGGTGGTGCTACAAGAAACGGAGAGAAAATGAAAGAACTATTTTTCAAAAGACAATGAACAAATTGTTCAAAAGTGACTGGACACACACACACATGTCACATATATATATATATGTATATAATTATATATACATATATGTATATATATATATATATGTGTATATATATATATACACATATTTACGTATATATATATATAATTACTGGAGTATTAATTATAATATGTGTGTGTGTGTGTTTAACCGTGATTCTTGTGTTGATTCCAGTGTTCAGCTCCTGGATGATAGCGATACACAAACCATCCACCGCAACCGAGGTCTCCAGCAATGTTCAGACAATGCACGCCGGGCTCCAGACCTCCCTTGGCATTTTGGAACCTGAGCACTTGTACCCTGGGACGCGTGAATTCATTGGTTTTTTTTAAAGGGAACCTATGGGATGTTAATGGATTTTTATGGGATTTTATGGGAGTTTCATGAGTTTTGTCGTATTGAATGGGAATATGCTGGGATTTTCACGGGATTTATGATGTTGATTTGGAATAAACATGAATATACTGGGATCACAACCTGGTAATGTGTTGCAGTGCTATGAGATTTAACTAGGGAAACTAGTCATCCAATGGGGGTTATATAACGGGATTATCAATGGATATCATATGTAATCTGGTAATTGAGCAGTTTGCTTTGGAATACGGTCCATTTAGTCAGATGATATTTTAAACGGTGATGTTCAATTTCAATAGAAAGCTGTTAGATTACGTGGGGCCCCACCTGAACATCTTGGATGTGCTGAGGCTTGTGATTTCTTAGTTTCGCCGTGGCAAATCCAGAAAATGACTGGGGAATCTATAGGGAAATGTGTGAATGGTTGTTATGGCAATGGTACCATCTTCAGCAAGTATCAGATATTCATCGCTTGCCAGAGGTTTAGAGGGTGACTGGTGGACCCTGAGAATTGGACGCTTAGAGCCATTTACTGTAGATGTGAGAACAGTGGGGCTTATGGGTCTTGAATTATAATAAGTCGAATGGTTCTGACATGTTTGTTGAAGGTGCATCGAGTGGGGCATAAGTAGTTGTTTTCGGAATTAAGCACGTTTTCCGGTTAAGATTTTCCTTAATCCATTGAATATTAACAAAGAAGATTAAAAAACAAAAACGTATGGAAACGCTGTGGTGCAACTAAACCCATGACCATCATTGACCTGCCAAAGGTGTTTCAGGGCTAGCTCACAGTCGAGCCCCGAGATTGTCCTAAGAAGATTGTTCCATCTAAACATTGAAGAAGCGAACAACATTGGTATGCATCAGTAACGTGAGTTATTACGTCAACAGTTACCAATGTTTCTGGTGTACAGTAGTTGTTAACTGGTTAGTGGTTTCAAGCATTTTTTATGTTCCATAATACATGGGATAATCCTTCCCATTGATTAATATTTTGCAAGATTGTTAAAACCACCAACCAGTTAATAAGTGTAACTTTGGTAGTATACGTGTAATGGCAGGATGACGGCAGTCTGGTTATCAAGTCCAGTTGGCCATGTGGCCTTGGTGCTGACTGAGTCCTCAGAGGTATCCTTACTACAGCTATACAGTGGAAGACCTCCTTTGCCGCAGTTCTATCTCGAAGATCACAGCCTCTTGGATCCTCTTGGATGCGAACACAGTCCCAACATCGATCCTTTTTTACTGAACAATTTGAAATAAGAAAAAGAAACAACTTGTTAGTGTCATTTTTGAGCCATCGCATGCCATAATATTTTTCAACGTCAGACGCACCAAAAGCGAAGGTGTCTCTGGAAAAGCTTGGTGACATTTGCAATGATTTGGGACAAATGTGCGCACGTGCATCCTGAAAACCTGCCACGCCCCTTGAAACTGACAGATGCTTCGAAATAATTCCTGCTGCTCCAGATAGGGACAGCGCCCAAGGCAAACATGAAGCTATTGGCAAAGATCATTTAAACTCATGTGAACTCGTCCTGTTCAGATGTCCATCACAGCCATCTCACCCAGATCCATCAACATCCAACTTCAGGGTTTGACCAACGGTCTGCCAAGCACCCAGACTGAAAGAAATCATTGCTAGAAAATGGGGTATACCCCCCAAATATCCAATTGAACAGGGAAAAATGCTGATTAACCAGCCAATTTAGGGGCACACTATTTTCAGACAAACCCACATGTTGCTTAGGTAGAGTATTGCTTGTTTGCTGTTGCATCAGGTATGATTTGGCGGCTGAGGTTTTGATGATCTTCCAGTTATGTCTTGGATTGGTGGGTCTTCCAGTTCTGGTGCGCCGCGCAGTTATTGGACGTTGATCTTTGGAAAACAAAAAACAACTTCACAAATCCAAACCAAGAAAAGAATATGCTGATGATGATGATGAAGATGAAGAAGATGAAGGAGATGATGATGATGATGATGATGATGAAGAAGAAGAAGAATATGATGATGATGATTTTTTGGGGAACAGATTATGTGATGAATTGATGACGTGTCATTTGGGGACCAGTTCTTTAACGTGGGATCCTCCTATGAAATGCTGCCTCTCCAACGCTGGGGAGCCCATGGACCAGCCCTTGATGAACAACCTCCAGTACAGGATTAGTTCACCCCATTGCTGGATTTCACCTCTACTTGAGGTGAGCCAACCCGCTTACGAACTGTGGTGAACCAATCTACTCCATTAGACGAACCAATATTATTACTCCATTAGATCCCATTTGAATTCCATTCCAATGATATGTCCATCATCAACTACGACAATTCACTATAGCAACCATTGGCCATAGAACTTATAGCGGCCACCAATGGGATCCCCATTCCCATAATCTTCCCATACTAATTGGGCTTTCATCTGGGAGTAGCATGGGAATGGGAGTCCCATCAGTCAGGGTCCCTCGAAATTTTCCTAAGTTTGCATAAGTGAACGAAAATAGCATTACTCAAATAGAATGTCCCTTAAACGCCCGGGTCCTATAGATATCATGATTGTTGATCCCTAAAAAATCCACTGACTTCTCGTTCCAACTAGCTTCAACGAAAATGCCATGACCAGGCCTGTTCTGCCAGTTGTTTTCTGGACAGCTTGCTGGTGGAGAGGCACCGTGTGGCCCACCGTGTTGGGAATGCTTGGAAAAAACGAGGATGTACAGCTATAGATGGAGATATCATATGATATAATGGGATATGATATAGGCAACCGCATAATGTTTAATATTATATATGATAAAAGGATATGATGGGATTATAATCGTTGTTTTCTTGCTGTATTTTACATTTGTGTATACCTATGTGCGCATGTATGTATATGTAATTAATATCTCTCTATATGTATATACATATGTTGTGTTTATTATCCAAAGAATTATCCCAAGATCCAAGAATATGATGGGCATGTGATGCAATGGGATACAATGCGGAACATCTTCATCGTTCATGGTATTCAACATATGGACACAAGAATGGCATAACGGAGAATACACCAATGTTATGACAAATGTTGGTATCTATATAAAATAGGCGAAGAAAAATCATCACCCATGAGATGGGGATCGTATGGCGGATCGTTGGGATATAACTGGGGATACGTGGTCACTAACTTGAGTTGATGTTTGAGTTTGTCTAAAAATGAACTATATAGTTACATCTATTTACCTCAAGCATATTAAGGTAAATTCAATGGGAAGCATGATGGTTAACCATCATTTTTCGGGGCTACCATGTTCTCAGACAAACCACTGTTATTTTTTTTGTTGCATCCTTACAGTCAATTTGTCCACAGATTCAGTACTTCAATATGAGTTTCATGAAATTCGGCGAGTGTCTCTTCGAAGCACGTCAGCGTGTCACCACTTGAGAAATCCTCAAGTTTACCAGGTTTTCAGGTTTCATCATTCATTTTTTGTTACAGTAAATGATGTTTAACCCAACTGTTGCTTGGTCAACAATTCTGGTGGTTGAATCCTCAAGTTTCCTTGGTTCTTATAGTGTAATGGTAAAAACATAAAGGGGGTGGTCAACGGTCATCCACCATTTATAGTGCTTCACACACTTTTTTCGGGGGTTCTAAAAAGAATGGGGAGATAACCATAACCCATTCATCCTTGCTCCCGTTGATGAGTAATCCCCATTGCTGGTTCAATCAAATTAGATATCATTACATCCCATGAATATCCAGAACAATCCCATAAAAACACATGTTTTTGTTGAAAAACCCTGTTCTAATCCCATTCAAGCACCATTTCTCCAAGTGTCACCACCGTTGCCGCAGGAAGGGTTTCGATTTGCTGAGCCAGGAAGATGATCTCCGAGAAGAGAGGTTGGAGGGATTTTATGGTCATTAATGGTGGTTAAGGGATGGTAACTAGTGGTGGATTTATGGTGATTAATGGGGGTTGATGGTGATTAAGGTGGATTTATAGTGATTTAGCTAGTGGTTACTAGCTATTTTTATGCTAACAGATCGAAGAGTGGGAAATATGAGGAACTATGTATTAAATGCGTTTTTTTGACCTGGAAACATGTTTATATCTTGGGGATGGCTCCACAATATGGCAATAACCTTTCATTTGCTGAGCCGATGACTTTCTTTGTGGATGTGTTTTTTTTTCTTGGGGGGGTCGTTAAGCAAACCCAAGAAAAATCGAGGGAAACAAATGGTGACCGTGGATAGTGGTTGATCATGGGAGCATGGTAGGATCGAAGTCCAATTGACCACATCAGATTGGTTTTTGGGGGCACAGAGGGATTTACAGTCACTAGGCTTGGTGATAAACCCTGACTAATTTATTTTGGGGGTACCCCAAAAAAGTGATTAAAAACACGATTGAAATTGGCACCCCCTCGGTTAATAAATTGGGGTTTATGAACCCTGGGTTGACATAACCAGATTGGGTGAACAAACAGCAACTCGGGGGTTAAACGGATATTTTTTCGAGGATTCCCTTGCCTTTGAAATGGTGGTTTTTCAGCAAAACAAATGGTGGTTAAGCGTTAGAAACGACAGTTAAACATAAACTTTTGGGGGATGAGCTTGAAAAGCAGGATTTGAGTAAGAAAATGTGGCACGGTATGAGGTGATTCTGGTTGGGAAGTCATCCCATAATGATCATAATGGGCCAATGTCCCAAGTTTCAGAAGAAGTATTCTGGGTAAAGTGCAGCAGTTTTGGGGGTGCAAATGATCTGCAAGAGGGTTGAAGAACTGAATTGGTGATAATTGGTGCTACGGTAGAGAACCACATAGTTCAATTCTGTGTATCAGGGGTTCTGGATTGCACAGTGCGTGATTTGTTTACCAATCTCATGGAGGAATGTTTGATGCCCCCGCGCCAGCCCCAGGAGTTTTACGCAAAACTTGAGGAGTTTGACGCAAAACTTTGGTTGGCTTCCATGGCGTAGTTGGCAAGGCTAGCCTCCCAGAAACTTGTCTGGTGGGAAAATCCGGCCCTACATTGATTGTTTTGGAAACATGTTTGACCATGTGTTTTTCGATGTTTTTCGTGTAATTGGGGGCCCCAAAATCATCCAATTTGTTTCAAAACAGGGAAACCAATGGTGATTTGGCGTATTCCGATTTTGAGAATCACCCATGGGCAGGTATGGATACGAACAGATGACATAGATAAGATTGGGTTGGAGTGGATGGCTAGTTAGGTAGATGGTGTTAATAGAATGGCTTGGTAGGCAAATGCATTGGCATAGATTATATAGATACGACGATGTAGCGGAAGCCCTTTCCACTCTGACATGATGTCTTGTGGTAAAGTGAGGCATTGACCCTGCAAGATCCTGTGGATTTTCCCTTGCAGACAGCAACCTTTTGAAGCCAGTGCAATAGATCATGCATTTTCAGTCTGTCCGCATGGAGACAAAGCTAGTGTGCGTACCCTAAACACTGGGTGAATCGTGCTTGGGATAGTTTTGTTGTTCAATCTTTAGCCAGTTTGATGAGGAAGATATGCCATGCCCAGCTCAAAACTGCGCCATTTTCCTTGCAAGTCATCAAAGATTAAGATCGACTATTACGTGTTTTTTTTGGTGGGGGTGATGAGTGACCGAATAAAGAACAGTTGAAATGGGATGAACTAATGTCCAAATGTTATCCCATGTTATCCCTTGCAACTGAGCCAATGGCACCATGAGATGAACAGCGAAGAACGCTGGACTCTGCGCGCCGTTCGAAAGTGGCGTGGCCTGCTGTCAGCTGATGTTGCTGGTTCTATTTCCAAGGGATGGGGGTTTACAAGGTGGTTGTTCTTTCCATTTTTTATTGGGGAATATAGGGTCGATTTCTTTAGGGATGGTTGACCCACCGAAGCATATCGAAGCATTCAAGATGGATCAACCTCACTTGTGGGATCCTTGGGTACTGCCGTCGGCTACGGCTTGAGTTGTGATCCAGACCTTACAGGTATGCAACCTACTTGTTGCTACCAACAAGCGAATTGGGGAGAATGTGTGTACTTTCACATGCCATTGAAGAGCATTTGCCACATCATGCCCCAAGTTCCATCTCTTCTTGGGCCCACAGCACTTTTTCCAGGCCTACTTTGAAGGGCATTGGGCCACCTTCGAGTACAATGCAGAGGACATGCGCGGGATGTTCCACCATGTTCACCGGGCGTCTAAAAGCTAACCATGGTTTGTAATCCATCAAAGCCATTATATAATACCTATATTAAAGTCGTTAAACATCCGTATTTGTAATCCATAAAGCCAATTATTATATATATAGTTACATACATACATATATATATATATGCATAAAACCCATACACTTGTCAAGATCCTTATGTTAGACCCACCCCATTGGTTCTCCGGTTGCGGTAGAACCCCCGAGACAGATGACCTTTATGGCTGCCAGGAACAGAAAGCCCGAATGAGGCGAGGGGTTGCCCCGGCCAAATGCCTTGGCAAAGTCCCAAAATAATGGGAAGATTATGGAATATGACTAATATGACATTTTTTCATGGAATATTACATAATATTACATGATACTACCTTGTTTTAATAGATATTTGGTGGGGCTATGCACATACTGAAGCGGAAACTTTTCAAACACCGAAATCGGATGAAACGAGCTTTCAAGATCATACAAGTATATCTTTAAGTAATGCAAGTTTGAATATCAAACTTTACGCACCAATGTTTGAAGCTGGCATTCCCTGATGCCTCATTTCTAGCAAATCATTGATGGCCAGTCAGCCACCTCTAGGAATGCTACAAGAAAATTGGAGGAAAAACTCCAACTCGTTATGAAACCATGTAGAATTTGGGTGTCGCAAGGGATATCCCCCGGCTGCAGCGCATTGCAGCGCCCCAGATCACTGGGATGCTGGCCATGAACAAAAATATTGGCTTCGGAATTGATACGAGGAGTGGGCCACCAGAAAACTTGGACACTGTGTAATTGTTGCAAGTAGACTCAAATAGATTTGTAGCCGCAAACATAATAGCTTGGTGGTTAAAACAAATCCAACGTTCACTTCATAGTTGAGATGATGATCCCATGAATACTTCACTGGTACTAGGCTTTGTCTGACACTAGACAAAAGAGCACCCCAAAGTCCCTAAAGTGTGGTCAAGTTTGATCCTCATTTTTCCCATCAAAAAATAATCAAAACCGTAGGTGCTCCCCCATTTTTGGACCAGCTCTTGGCTTGTGATGCCTTGTGAAGCCGGCTGAAGCCATGGCGGTTCTATGCCCTGGGTGGTTGCTTCAGAGTCTTGCCGTCCTTCGGCTTCCTACTGGCCGATCCTCCATTGACCCTAAGACCAGTCCGGGCTTTTCAAACATTCAAAAGGGATGATTGGTTGCGATGACATTTGGTTGTCTCAGTGTATATGTTTTAGTTTTATGATGTTTTATTTAGTCGTTTAAGTGTTAGACCATGTTTGAGAATGTTTGGGATAATGATCCAACTTGGTGCAAATTGGCTAGTGATTTTGGGGATTGGCTGAGATATTGGCACATTAGCTAGAAGTTGTATTTATATATTAAAACATTAAGCTTAGTACTTTTACTGCATCCATGTTTGTGTTTCGGCGCCAACCCCAGATTTTATGAGGAAGAACTTGATTATATAATTAGGGCAGGCACCCCCAAATAGTGATACTATGACTATGATACTAAAATGGGACCCCCCCTCTTACTAAAGTGGGGGATTTATGAAAAATATACGCTCGCGTTCGATTTTTTATCCCAGTAATTTCCAGTAAATCTCATGAAACCCCAGCAAATCCCGTGAAATAAACCACCAGTAAATCCAATGACAATCAACCACCAGTAAATCCCATGAAACATATCTGGGTAAATGGTAGTGACCTCACGTCGTGCGAAGCCTGGAATCATGGGAAAGACGGATTCGGGGAATCATCCCCATACATAGCCGATATAGCTGGCCCAACATTGTAGGTTCGTGAAATACATTATAATTTACCTATTATTATGATAGATTTAGGATAGTGAAAACCTTTTTAAATTTATCAGAATACCCAACATTGGCCTCATATCCTCATGATATCCTCCATCGAGGTGCTCCACATAGCGGCGACCTTGTCAAACCAGGCTGGGGGTGTTTCGGAAATGGGACCCTTGCCATTCATGGATTGCATGGGAAAATTGAGGAACATCTAGGAAACGTCGTGGGAAAATCTAGGAGCATCTAGAAAACATCATGGGGAAAATCTCTGAAACCAACTGGATGGGTAGTTGTTATGGGAATATTTGCCAGCTCAAAACGCGGTGTGGCGCGCCACAGTTTTTCTTGCTGATTATTACCCTCTGGTAACCTAACAGTTAGCTATGTGGAACATGGCCAAATTATAGAGGATTTACCCTCTGGTAAACTAACATAACTATGGAAATCACAATTTTTAATGGGAAAATCCACTACAAATGGCCATTTTCAATAGCTATGTTACTGTAAATTACCAGAGGGTACGTATTTTCACACGGTGATGTTCCATGGCTATGTGCAGATTTGCCAGAGGATACACACAGCGCGACGCTTAGCGGCAGCGCGCTTTCCATTTCACCAATCAGGCTCCCAAAACAATGCGCAGTTAAAGGTTGTCAGATGCTAGTGTATCAAGAATCTGCACACATCGTCACATGTTTTTTTTCCATTCATGATTCCTACCTGGAATCATGAAACCCTGTCGCTAAGTGGGCGATAACGAAATTATAGCCCACACCATTCCTGTGTCCCGCAGGGTCCCGCACCTCCCAAAATCAATCAAAATATATCAAACAAAAACAATATATATATAATATAATTATATCATCACATGTAGATAGCTATATATATATATATGTATGTATGTATGTATGTATGTATGTATGTATGTGTATATATATGTAATTTAATAATAATGATAACAATAATAATAATATTAATAATAATAAATAACAGTCATGTCGTTACTTGCATATGCCATGGACCCCATTATGTCCCCATCACATAGCCCAGATCCCCATGTGGATATGATGGGATGACCCATGAAAATCCCACGGAACCTAAGCATGGTTCATAGATGTTTCATGTGGTAAACACAACGCCATAAACCATCCCCATCCATAGAGATTTATATGTTTTTTTTTTTGAGATTGGATATGTATAATATATATGTATATATACTGTAGCAATAGCAAATACCCCTATTTAAGGTATGATTTATATTATATCCCCCATGGTGTCACTGGGATGGTGGCATTGGCTAAAGCTCCAGGCTTTCTGGCAAGCCTTGAGCGACTGCTTCCGGGAAGGGCTGGTAGGCGGGGCTTCATCGTGTGTTAAACAAAGCGGGGTACCCCAAATAGCCAACTCAATAGGGAAAATGATGATAAAACATCAAATTTTGGAGTTGTATCTATTTCAGAGAACCCAATTATCCCATCCGCATCTCTGCGATGAAGGTCGAAGGAAGCCTCCCTCAATCATTGGTATACGCAACTGGCCAACCCACGTTGAGATGCCCGTTCCCTGTTGGAAGAAAACCCAACTTCGGACCTTTACCGTACTAGATCCCAGAATTAGGTCCAGCTCCCAAATCTGTGGGTGAAAAGGAGTAAAAACTAGGTTCCCTGCAGACTCTCCTAAGCCCTGAGTTCGTTCCAGGGTCCTTGCAACCGCCCGATCGCATCTACATGGGAGACGTCGTCCTGCAGAGCGCTTTCTTTCAAAGACCCTTGCTCCTGCAGATGGGTGGTCCGAAACTGGGTGGATTTTAACCTCCAGTTTCTGGCCATCCAATAATCTGGGACTTGCTTAAGATTATGTTTATTTTTCCCCAAGGAAAATCCACTACTTGGGGAATCCATGATTAAGGGAATACGTTGTATTTTTGCGGGGATCCTTAAGGATAAATCCAAGTAAGTCATTGCGAAATGATTTTCCAAACAGTGGGATTTGAGGCTGTTCCCTATTGCCAGACCAGCCTAGATGCCCAGTTGCCTTCTTTTCATGCTTTCGGATGTGGGTGTGAAGCCTAACTAATTTACTTCATGACATGAAGATGGTCTGGGAGCTGTGTTCGATTTCAAGGGTTTAAGTTTACCCTCCAGTAAACTAACATGATTACTGTAGATACGGAAAATCAGCCATATGGGAAGTAGATAATTTTCAAGAGATACCTATGGACCTATGGATTTCAATAGCTATGCTGTGTTAGTTTACTGAAGACTGACCCTTTGGTTCTGAGGAATGGCAGCTTTTGGCCTTGTGACCTTTGGGCATTTGGTCTGCAGCGGCGAGGCCCTGAAAGGATCTGAAAGGCTAGATATACTGCATTTCGGAGTATATTGACATATTATTGACCCGTTATTGACCCCCAAAAAAAAGGATGAATACAACGAAACCAGACAACAGAGGTAGCAATGTCTATGCATAATCTGCCTTGGGACGTGGTGGCCGCATGGTCGACATTGGTGAATTTTTGTGTGGCTTTTCAAAAACTCATTTGCCAGATTTTATGGCCTGGCCCAGTGATAACTGGTGTTTTTTTGCACCTCATTTTTTCCGGAATTGGTTAACGAGTTGTTTTTTGTTTTACTTCCACGATGGTGTTGCAACGGGTAAAATGTTTCACGGTTTCCTGTCCTGTCGTGTTTCCTTCCATCCACCTGGCGAGCATCGATCCAACAGAAGCCTTGTAGCATAAACCATGCCATTTGAAGCGGCTTTATGAAAAGATCCCCCACGATTGAAGTGTTGGAGGGGCTCAGGGTATGCTCCAAAGGCATCCAAAGGTACGTTCAACCTATCTTAGACATTCTTAGACTATATACCACTATATGTGAACATGCATGAACATGGCCCATTTATAGTTCGATGATTTACCCATTCAATCCCATTCAAAAACAATTTTCCCCATGTAACAAATGTCCAGAGGGTATACAATATATAGGTGTGATAACATAGATGGAAAATGACAATCCTTCACGTTGCCCCCGTTGGGCTTAGGCTCCTGGTTCTGCTCTTTGGGTACCTGGTGGTCGCTTATCGCAGGCCCGGCCCGGCAAACACCTTTTTGGGGGGGTACCTGATGGTACTTAGTGGTTCATCCCAGTAAAATAGTGATTTATCGTTGATGGTGGTTGACCATGGGAATATAATGGGATTCAATGTGATTTATAGGATATATTGGTTCGCCTCAGGTAGGAAGTGGGTTATAACCCCAGCAATGGTAAAATCCTACTTATCCCACCTGTGGTACTCGTACCGGTTGGGTGAGTCCAGTTGTAACTGAGGCCATACATAACCCGCTTACTATCTGCGATTCAGCACCAACTAGTGATGGTGAAGAATTCCGGCGAAAATAATTTCAACCATGTTCAAATCAATGAAACAAGTGTCAAACTTAATTTGATGGTGTATAACTACCCATTTGGTGATGGGACAGCACTGATTTCAGATTTCCGGTTTGCAGTACTGTTTGCATGACTTTGCCAAGATAAGGATGGCCCTGCCAATCGTGCATGGGATACCATTCTATGCATGAAAAAGCTGCCCAAGTTTGATGTGTACCAATCTTCTGGATAATCATTGGGAGTGGTAGGTGTGACATGGTGTGAACAACGCAAAAGATTTGATCGCCATTTTTTCAGGGATCATTGGAACAACAAAAGCTTGGCATATTACAAAAAATATTGAAAAATGGGGTCAATGAGGAAGTGGTTTTAGCCAGCCAGACAAAACAAAGGTCGTGCGGAGAGCTGCCCATTGCCGTGGTTGCAGGCGCGGGGAACGGGGTGAATTTGAACACGTGATCGTGGGAGTTGAAGCGGCAAGAATTCGGCTTACCTAGGCCGTGTGTATATTTGATTATTTTTGTATATATCTGTATGTATGTATGTATGTATGTATGCATGCATGCATGCATGCATGCATGGATGGATGGATGGATGGATGGATGGATGGATGGATGGATGGATGTATGTATGTATGTATGTATGTATGTATGTATGTATGTATGTATGTATGGTATGTATGGTATGTATGGTATGTATGGTATGTATGGTATGTATGGTATGTATGTTATGTATGGTATGTATGTTATGTATGTTATGTATGTTATGTATGTTATGTATGTTATGTATGTAATGTATGTAATGTATGTAATGTATGTAATGTATGTAATGTATGTAATGTATGTAATGTATGTAATGTATGTAATGTATGTAATGTATGTAATGTATGTAATGTATGTAATGTATGTAATGTATGTAATGTATGTAATGTATTAATGTATGTAATGTATGTAATGTATGTAATGTATGTAATGTATGTAATGTATGTAATGTATGTAATGTATGTAAAGACAAAGTGATGTATGTAATGTTTGTTAATGTTTGTAATGTATGGTAATTATGTAACATCGGATGTATGTATGTAATGTATGTAAGTATGTAATGTATGTAATGTATGTAATGTATGTAATGTACTGTAATGTATGAAGTATTATGATGTATTTCATGGATTTCAATGTATTTCCGCCCCCCCCCTTGTACGGTAAATGTATGTAATGTATGTACGGTATGTAATGTATGATCTAATGTATGTAAATGTATGTAATGTATGTAATGTATGCAATGTACGCTGCAATGTATGCAATGTAGGAAATGTCTGTAATGTATGTAATGTATGTAATGTAGCTAATGTAATGTAATGTAATGTAATGTAACTGTATGTATGTCATGTAAGGTAATGTAAGTAAATGTAATGATAATGTATGTATGTTATGTATGTATGTATGTAATGCATGTAATGTATGTAATGTATGTAATGAATGTAATGTATGTAATGTATGTAGTAATGTATGTAATGTATGTAATGTATGTAATGTATGTAATGTATGTAATGTATGTAATGTATGTAATGTATGTAATGTATGTAATGTATGTAATGTATGTAATGTATGTAATGTATGTAATGTATGTAATGTATGTAATGTAGTAATGTATGTAATGTATGTAATGTATGTAATGTATGTAATGTATGTAATGTATGTAATGTATGTAATGTATGTAATGTATGTAATGTATGTATGTATGTATGTATGTATGTAATGTATGTAATGTATGTAATGTATGTAATGTATGTAATGATGTAATGTATGTAATGTATGTAATGTATGCTAAAGTAGTAATTGTATGTAATGTAGGTAATGTACGTTATGTACGTTATGTACGTTATGTACGTTATGTACGTTATGTACGCAATGTACGCAATGTACGCAATGTACGCAATGTACGCAATGTACGCAATGTACGCAATGTACGCAATGTACGCAATGTACGCAATGTACGCAATGTACGCAATGTACGCAATGTACGCAATGTACGCAATGTACGCAATGTACGCAATGTACGCAATGTATGCAATGTATGCAATGTACGCAATGTATGCAATGTATGCAATGTATGCAATGTATGCAATGTATGCAATGTATGCAATGTATGCAATGTATGCAATGTATGCAATGTATGCAATGTATGCAATGTATGCAATGTATGCAATGTATGCAATGTATGCAATGTATGCAATGTATGCAATGTATGCAATGTATGCAATGTATGCAATGTATGCAATGTATGCAATGTATGCAATGTATGCAATGTATGCAATGTATGCAATGTATGCAATGTATGCAATGTATGCAATGTATGCAATGTATGCAATGTATGCAATGTATGCAATGTATGCAATGTATGCAATGTATGTAATGTATGTAATGTATGCAATGCATGCAATGCATGCAATGTATGCAATGTATGCAATGTATGCAATGTATGCAATGTATGCAATGTATGCAATGTATGCAATGTATGCAATGTATGCAATGTATGCAATGGATGCAATGTATGCAATGTATGCAATGTATGCAATGTATGCAATGTATGCAATGATTGCAGGTAATGCCCAAATATGCCAATGTACGCACATGTACGCAATTAACGCAATGTACGCAATGGTAACGCAAATGTACGCAATGTACGCATGTGCGCAATGTACTCAATGTACGCAATGTATCGCAATGTACGCAATGTACGCTGTCCGCAATGTACGCAATGTAGCAATGTACGCAATTTACGCAATGTATGCAATGTATGCAATGTATGCAATGTATGCAATGTATGCAATGTATGCAATGTATGCAATGTATGCAATGTATGCAATGTATGCAATGTATCCAATGTATGCAATGTATGCAATGTATGCAATGTATGCAATGTATGCAATGTATGCAATGTATGCAATGTATGCAATGTATGCAATGTATGCAATGTATTCAATGTATGCAATGTATGCAATGTATGCAATGTATGCAATGTATGCAATGTATGCAATGTATGCAATGTATGCAATGTATGCAATGTATGCAATGTATGCAATGTAGGCAATGTATGCAATGTATGCAATGTATGCAATGTATGCAATGTATGCAATGTATGCAATGTATGCAATGTATGCAATGTATGCAATGTATGCAATGTATGCAATGTATGCAATGTATGCAATGTATGCAATGTATGCAATGTAATGTATGCAATGTAGTAATGTATGTAATGTATGTAATGTATGTAATGTATGTAATGTATGTAATGTATGTAATGTATGTAATGTATGTAATGTATGTAATGTATGTAATGTATGTAATGTATGTAATGTATGAATGTATGTAATGTATGTAATGTATGTAATGTATGTAATGTATGTAATGTATGTAATG